GATCTGTGCAACGCAATCTGAAAGCACATTGGCAACAGTAAATCGAACAGTATTTTTCAAACGCAGTATTATTGTCAGATTGTCGGCAGAAATTGAGCAGGAGCTGCGCTGTGACGCTATCACTGAATACTTACAATACTGCCGCTAGGTAGTGTTTGTTGATATCCGTTTCTCGTATTTAAAATTTGTCGAACCCCTTTATATAATCAATATCGAAGCTCAGGTTTGTCATAATTATTTGCGTATTATTCATGTATGTTAGTATGAATTTGAATAATATTTATGCACTAAAGGAGCTAAGTATTATAAATGTGCATAATATTATTAAAAAATGGTTGCTAGTGTAGAGAACAAGGGCAAAAATATTATATTTTTATATCTTTAGATTGGAATATTTTCGGAAAAATAGGAATCAGTACTTTAATATAAAATACATATATTAATTTTTATTAATAAAACAATTTAAAATTATTTCTTTAAAATAAAATTTAGAAAAAAATAAAAAGCCATTTTGTTAAATTTCAGTACCAATGACAATTTAAATGTTTACTATAAAACTGCAAAGTGTGCTCGATTTTTGTTCTCAGTTTGCTATCAGATTGTGTCGCGCAGATTCTGTTCGGTTTCTGCCGTCAATTTGATGTTAAAGTCTGTCAGCACAATCTGCTCGATTTCTGTTGCCAATCTGCTGTCAAATTGTGTAAGCAGATTCTGTCGACAGAATATAAGCAGAATGCGACCTCAAATGAGTTCATGCTGCTAACATTTTCTGATTTAATCTGCTGCCGGTCTGTTGACATTTTGCTAGCATTTTGCTGATTGGGTATGAATCGTTTTTATCGCGCACGGCTGAACAACGCTTAGTCGCTTACGAAGCATTTGAGTGCCATATAAGTGTCAAGTTAAATCAATATAAACAAATCTATTGCGGAAACAGTCTGTTTATATCTAATCACAGAAATATTTTCGTTCGAGTAGTTACCCTGTTAAAAAAAATCGATAGAAAACGATAAGAACTAATATAGGATCTGACAAATATTTTATCGTGTCCTATCGTATCTATCATTCCACTTTCTCTGTTCCGAAAGAAATTGTTATCGTTTAATATTGTTTTCTATCATTAGCTGATAAAAACAATTTTCGTTGAAATATCGATAGAATGCCTACAGTAACTTACCGTTTTGATAAAATTTATCATATATAATTAAAACGTTATCCTAATGAATTGATCATACATGTTAATTTTTTTATGGTTCATAACTACGATTAAAAATTATATCGGTTTTATCGTTCTATCTATTTTTAACAGGGTAGAACGCAATAAGGCGATCGTGGCGCGAGGAGCAGCGCGGCAGCTTTATAAGCTAGAGATCCGGGTTCAAATCCACCCAGAATAATATAACTCTGAAATTGATTTTAATCAATTCGGAAACGATCGCCGCCTCTCGGAAGGCAATGGCAAACCAATGAGAGTATCTTTACCAAGAGAACCTCTTTAAAAAAAAAAATGGCCGTTCGGAACCGGCGTTAAAATAGTAGGTCCCGTATATCTGCGTAAAAGT